TAAATAACTACGTCTAGCAGTTGACTATAAACTATCCCACTTACTTTGTTACAGTCCCAAAATATGGTCATACCAACATTTTCAAAAATCTTTATATTCTTACACTAGTTTCATACACTTTATCGATGTGTGATGCATTAGGAACTTGGTCTTCTCTGCAGTGGTAAGCGAATGGACAGAATGGACTGATGATGGAACGTGCTCTACGACCTGTGGGGCTGGAACAAAAGCGCAGGCTCGGACACGAACTTGTACCCAATCTACCTGTTGCCCAGCCGACCTTTCCTTACGTGAGACGAGAACAGTGTCCTGTGAGCTTTGTACATGTCCAGGTAAGTAGGAAAATACCTTGTACTAAGTAATAAAGGAAAACCTTTTATCATGTGTAATGCAGCCAGAGCAATTTTTCAACATTTTCATCAGTGTAACTGACGCGAAAGAACATCATATTTTGGGAAATATGTAGAAAAGTTAGAGGGAATATAAAATGTCTGTTGTAGTTTCCTTGATAATTCAAACTATAAATCTGAGGGAAAAGTCAAGGATATATACACCATTTGAACTCAAAAGTACAAATATATACCACTCAAAAGCCAGTTAAGGAACACATGCTCTTTTTCCAGAGCGTTGAGCAATCTTAGATTTCCATGATAAAAACAAAATATACTACTGTAAAGAAGTTAAATAACTACGTCTAGCAGTTGACTATAAACCATCCCACTTACTTTGTTACAGTCCCAAAATATGGTCATACCAACATTTTCAAAAATCTGTATATTCTTACACTAGTTTCATACACTTTATCGATGTGTGATGCATTAGGAACTTGGTCTTCTCTGCAGTGATAAGCGAATGGACAGAATGGGCTGATGATGGAACTTGCTCTACGACCTGTGGGGCTGGAAGAAAAACGCAGGCTCGGACACGAACTTGTACCCAATCTACCTGTTGCCCAGCCGACCTTTCCTTACGTGAGACGAGAACAGTGTCCTGTGAGCTTTGTACATGTCCAGGTAAGTAGGAAAATACCTTTTACTAAGTAATAAAGGAAAACCTTTTATCATGTGTAATGCAGCCAGAGCAATTTTTCAACATTTTCATCAGTGTAACTGACGCGAAAAGAACATCATCTTTTGGGAAATATGTAGAAAAGTTAGAGGGAATATAAAATGTATGTTGTAGTTTCCATGATAATTCAAACTATAAATCTGAGGGAAAAGTCAAGGATATATACACCATTTGAACTCAAAAGTACAAATATATACCACTCAAAAACCAGTTAAGGAACACATGCTCTTTTTCCAGAGCGTTGAGCAATCTTAGATTTCCATGATAAAAACAAAATATACTACTGTAAAGAAGTTAAATAACTACGTCTAGCAGTTGACTATAAACCATCCCACTTACTTTGTTACAGTCCCAAAATATGGTCATACCAACATTTTCAAAAATCTTTATATTCTTACACTAGTTTCATACACTTTATCGATGTGTGATGCATTAGGAACTTGGTCTTCTCTGCAGTGATAAGCGAATGGACAGAATGGGCTGATGATGGAACTTGCTCTACGACCTGTGGGGCTGGAACAAAAGCGCAGGCTCGGACACGAACTTGTACCCAATCTACCTGTTGCCCGGCCGACCTTTCCTTACGTGAGACGAGAACAGTGTTCTGTGAGCTTTGTACATGCCCAGGTTAGTAGAAAAGCCTTAGAGTATAGTGATTAGGGAAGGCATGTAAATATGTACTACATGCATGTGTAATGGAGCTGAGTGACAGTGTGCCTTCCCAAGGGAATGTGATGTTGTGTTCTTATGTTGAGAAGCTTTATAGTATGTGTATAAAGAGTATACTCTCAATAGGTTGAAGGAGAGGAAATATTCCGTTATAAAGTCACACATTTTATCAAATATTAGTGACAGAGATGAGACATCGCAATATGAAAACATGACTGTTTGCTGAGGATGGGACTATTTACAGACTGCTGTCATGCTGTGGATGTAGTCAGGGAAGCTAATATTATGAATTGAGTAAACGTAAATTGAAATATTTAATTGAATTTAATTACAAACCACTGTCAGTTACGTGTGAAAATCATGATGTCAACCTTTGAGTCACAAACTAACAGGAAATAGCTTAAAACCGCAGAGGGAATCATGTCATATGTAACCAACCTTGATAACAATGGATTTGCCTTTGCAATGGATCTGTACTTGCTGCACTGACGCTCAAAATAGCATTATCAAGGGTTACAAAATCTTTTTACTCTGTCTTGATTTCATATAGTGATCGGCCCTTGGTGCCCTTGGACTAATAGTGGTCAGTGTTCGGTGTCGTGTGGAAGTGGGACAAAGATGCAGTTCCGTACTCGCGTCTGCAATAATACTTGTACTCCCCCAGACTGTGTTACCCGCGAGGAGAGAACAGTCAACTGCAGCAAATATCCGTGTCGTAAGTATGAGGAGAAAACCATCTGTGTGATATTTCATATCAACTGTTTCAATCTTGTTCACTGAAGATGGAACAAAATTATATTTATACACATCAGACCATCCAGCATGCTCAGTGTCATTTACCCCCCACCCTCTCCGATATTAAAGCTCGGTCTATAAGTATACGCTTAAATTCTTAGTCAGCTTCCTACAAAACGCCATGAACCATATGCGGCTAATTATTAATGTAACAGCGTCAAGATTTTCTGCAAACCATATCAAATAACAGAGTGAACTGTAATGTACCGTTGATAAATGGAGGTTCGCCGCACTCAGCAATATTCCAGCTAACTGTAAATAATCTAGTGCGGACCAGACAATTCATTAATCAAGAGGATGCACATCCATGTAGGCCATTTAGCCACGATGGCATGTGTCAACCAATTAAGCGAGCCTCGCCATCCGATCAGAAAGCGTGACTCGGATTTCCCCTGTGATAATCTAGTTATTTTATTGTACTTCGTCGACAGGTTGTTGTAATTTAATTCCATTTATTATCAATTTATAACTTTTTAAGTCACGATATGGCTGAAATATTGACGATGTGACTATAAATCTTAACTCACTCTAACCAGTGTTCACATGTTTGCACTATAAGATTTAGTCGTTAATTTTGGTTACCTTACTTAAGATGAAAAAAGCCAGATTTGGAACATTTTACTTCAATTTCTTTAATACTATTCCACTCTTTATAAATGGGGGTGATGGAATAAATCACATAGACCAAATTTGTTAATGTCACAGGTTGTTTCTATTTCAAAAGAAGTCACGAATCCTTTAGTGTTTAAATTACGAACAGAGAGTTTCAGCAGAAGTATTTTTCAGACTTTTTTCGACTTGTTTGTGCTTCTTTGCAAGAAACATTGAAGCATGGCCCTCGAATGTATGGGTTTGCATTGGTCTGTTGAATCGTTTCATCAGCAATCACATTCAGTTGTTCATAGTTATTCATAGCATCCCTAGCATCCTGTGCTTTTCATAAGCGGCGACAACATGAAGCGGTCAAAATGACTGATCTTTGACCCACATCCGGGTTAGAATTGATCTTGAGCAACTCATGCGACTAACAGGGTCGGGTGGTCAGGCTACCTGACTTGGCTGACACATGTCATCGCATTTCAGTTGCGTAGATCGATGCTGATGATGTTGATCACTGGACTCGAATATTTACAGACCGCCTCCATATAGCTGGAATATATTCTGAGTGCGGCGTTGAATAAACACGATAAAACGTATCCGTTGTGAGGGTTTTCTCAATAAATAAAAACTGCACATCAATGTATCGCATCGCAATTAATCGGATAAGGATTTTTTTCAATCATTGGATTGGTTGGTCAAGATTGGATTATTAAAGTACTGTCGGAAATAGAAAAAAAACCCCTGGTTTTTCGCATTTATATCTGCAATTTATGTAGTTAATGTGAAAGTGTGAAATATCTGTTAAACTAAGTTCGGCCTAACTACATTCTCAGTGGTAGGTAGATAGGAAATGTAGAAAAAGGACTTTACTGAAGAGAGATTAGTGCCGAAATGAGCAATGCGGGTTTTTTTAAAGTCCAAAGCGATTTATTTGGAACAGAGCATGACTTTATGCAAATTAGTGTGCGATGTGATTGTATTACAAAGGCCACTTTTCAAATGCCCATTCCAAAATTAAACTTAGCTTCATTATAAACAATAGCTGACGTAAAAAATGATAACTTTAATACTGAAACTATTAAGGATGCAGCTACCATGGAGTCTCACTATCACTACAAAAACAAACAGATAGGAGGAGTCGTCTCAAACGGTGTGTCAGGACGGGTGTCACAGACGGTGGTTGGGATCGGGCTCAGCCAGGTATGACGACGGAAAGAGATATCAGCTGAAATAAGATAATCCTTTAGGGGAATTAAACTGGTGAGGCAAACGGCATGTCATAGCAATTTACAAATAATATCCAGTCCTGTCCATCATCGGGTGGTTATGCCACCTATATATTTTGAGACATTTAATGCGATGGCTGATTTAAGCTTTTCTATGGGTATCATACTCTTTTACATATCCCAACATAAACCTTATGAAAGAAAGACACGTAAGATGTTAATCAATACATGAGACATGTTTAACACACCTGACAAAGCATAAAATATATTTGAGATGACCCCTTGCGCCTGCAGGCAGCACATGTATTTCATGCCAGGTGAGTCGACGGTCCGTCGTCATACCTGGCTGAGCGACCTAATTGCCATCTATAGTCTGATCTATTGTTTTCAGAAGCTGTTCGTATTTTTTTTTCTAAGTTTTGCTCCATTTTACGAGTAAACATGCATTTCTGGATATTCTATTACGCATCATACTGAAGGTCCAGTTAGGCCGATGTGGGTTATTTCGCCATTCTATTTACAATTGTGTAAATTTTAGGGATACAGAGTTATAGCCTAAAAACAGGGTTTTTTTCTATTTCCGACAGTACTTAGTGTCAGTCGTGATGTAACTGAAATCATGCTTTTGTGCTGCAGCTGCTCCGTGGTCAGCATCGTCGATATGGAACAGATTTACGGTGAGGCATGGATATCACTTTGGGACAAGATTGCCTCGTTACAGACAATCGTCAGGACACCACAGATGGGGGTACAGGTCAAGATGGTTTGGATGAAAGCACGGACGGAAAAGCAAGTATTACCATGGTTAGTGAGTGAGTGAGTGACTTTAGTTTTACGCCGCTTTTAGCAGTATTCCGGCAATAGCACCAGAAATGAGCTTCACACATTGTACCCATATGGGGATTCGAACCTGGGTCCTCGGCGTCACGAGCAAACGCTTTGACCACTAGGCTATCCCACCGCCCCTCATCATGGTAAGGATTTATAAACATCTCGCAGGGACAGTGGCAGTCGCTTTAATCCACCAATGTCTGCTCAGATGACACGGCATATGGCCACTTCAAGAGGGCCATTGTTCTAAAGTGATCCGTTATTGGGGGAAGGGGTGTTGAGATCCTGCACGTGAATAAGTTGTTCCTTACTACCAATGCTTACCCCTAGTGTACCCATTTGCATCGTGAAAAATCTACTCAGAAGGCTGAAGATGACCTGATGAAACTTAAGTGTTAACATGGACTGAGTTACAAAGTGTATCACTCGACAATGAGGGTACCCATGAAGGTCCGGGTTAAACACATGTCATCGCATCCCAAATGCGTAGATCGATGCTCATGTTGTTGACCACTGGATTGTCAGGTCCAGATTCAATTATTTACAGGCCGCCGGCATATAGCTGGAATATTGCTGAGTGCGGCGTAACACTGATATCAATCACAGGACCAGTGGTTAAATACAGCGTTAAGTATTAAACTCTTTGGGGCTTAATTCAGATAGACTTTGTTCGAATTGTGATGTTTGTTTGCACTCGGCTAATGGTCCAGCTATACGACGTTAGTCTGTGAAATAATCCAATCTGGATCAGTCAAACCAGTGATCAACATCATGAGCATCTAAGATGAGATACGTAAACATGTGTCAACCAAGTCAGCGAGTCTGACCACCCGATCCCGTTAATTACCGTTACATATTATGACAAGCATTGGATGCTGAAGACCAATTTTACTAATGTGCCCAGGTATTTTTTTCTAGGGGGTACAACACAACCCTGACTTCCACGGATTTACTATCTCTGGGAAACCACACTCACTTACTCACTCACTCATTCAGTCCTTGGGACAACGTTTTATAGTAACTTGCTTCTTTAACAAATCGATAGATGTCATTTGTCATTGTGTCAAACTTCAGCGCCACCATTCAGTTAACTGAGAAAAGTGGTTGACACATACATAATTACATATGATTTTGTCAGTGTTAACTGGTTGTCTTTTATACAATACATTAATTCTAATCTGTTGCAGATGACTAGACGGACCACCCCAGAAGCAACTATGTAAAGCCCGCCCAAACGATCCAAATAAAATATGCAGCATACTTAATTGTCACGTTATTAATATTCAACAACACCAGGCGAGTGACAGAATTCGTCATGTTTCATTCTTGAACAAAACCCTTACCTGTCTCAGTTCCTGTATCTGTGAAATGGGTACTAGAGCGGACCGACCACAACCATTTCATAACCAATATACTTCTGACGTAAGCGGGGCGGCGGGGTAGCCTGGTGGTCAAAGCGTTCGCGCGTCACGCCGAAGACCCGGTTTCAATTTCCCATATGGGTACAATGTGTGAAGCCCATTTCTGGTGTCCCCTGCCGTGATATTGGTGGAATATTGCTTAAAGCGGGGTAAAACAAAACTCACTCTGATGCAAGCACTTCACTTCTGATTACAATATCAGAAGCATGTTTTGCTATCAAGTGTTTGCAAAAAGACCCATGCGCAAATATGTATCTATTTACCTTTAAAGATGCATGTGTCCCCCCCCTGTGTATTGGAAACATCCCGACTTGGACAGACGACGTTCTGGTTTACAATTCGTGAAGAAATGTCAAAACTCCTTCCAAAGCCTCACGAAAAATTCAGACAAAGCATCAATCGATTGTACAATTTCCATTGCTTCGGCATGTGTTTACGAATCACTATTTAGTTCTTCCACTTAGATTTGTTTGTTGTTTTACGCCACACTCAGCAATATTCAAACTGTATTGTAAGCAAATCGAACATGAACCATAAAATCCAGTGATGAACATAACGAGCATCAATCTACGCGATTATGATACGTTTGTTGGTTGTATAACGCCGCACTCAGCAATATGGCAGCGGTCTGTAAATACTCAAGACTGGACCTGACAATTCTGTCATCTACATCATAAGCATCGCTCTACGCAAGTGGGATACGATGACATGCGTCAACCAAGTCAACGAGCCTGACTATCCGAACCCGTTAGTCGCCTCTTACGACATGCACATTTATTCGGACACTGAGTGTTTGGTATATCCTTGGGTGTTCAGTCATCTCTGCTTAAACCGTAACCAATGCTATTGCATATACCCAGAATACTATCAGCTCATTAAGGATCCGCATCCTTTCTTTTTACTTCAGCCTTCACTCGTTAACGCTTCCTTGTATCTTAAGCAATGTGTTGTTAACTGGCTTCCCCGTGCTATTGCATGTCTGTCTACCATTGTGCTGTACAAACACTTCCTCACACTTGTATATATGCCTCTCATTACATACTCTGCTCACCATTTACTTGATGGCAGTGGTAGAACCCACACACAAACGTCGACCCACTGTACTAAACACGTTTTTTTTATCCATATATTGTTATCCTTCCTGACTGCTCCAACTTCTAAATGACGCCCAAAGAAGTTACGCATAATGTATTTTCACGTCTGGTGACACATCATTGTGCAAGTGGTATGCAAGCCTGACTTTGGCAAAGGGAAACATACCAAGTTTACCAAGTCTATAAACTAGTGGTGGTGTGTGGTCCTGTGCTCAAAGCTCAGGTCACGAATCAGTTAAAGTTAAGCAACGGCGAGGTCGGACAGTCCTTCGATGGGTGACCGTGTTTGGCAGCTTGACTCCTGAGAGTTTCTAGGACTTCAGTCCTGCCCCACAACGAAGCACATGTGACACATGTGGTCTCACCTTAGGCAAGTGAGTTTGTTCAAATTTGCCTCTGTTCACCCAGCAGAAAATGGGTACCCAGTGGGATAAGTCATATGACTACAACCTTCTAGCGCCTAACAGGCAGCTTGGGTTATCCAGGATAATAATCAACAGATTCTGAGTTAGCACCGCGAGCAATCACTTGGTGTTTGGAGACTGTGCGCTATAGAAGATGACCTATTATTGCTAACTAGCTACTTTAGATATCCTAAGTGATTTCTAGTTTAACCAGGTGAATCTAATTCCTCAGCTGAACAGAAACGATATGTACTTATTCATCATTCGTCTGTAGAGTGCATAATCTGAAAACGTTCTCAAAGCAGTGCAATAGAAAGTACAAGGGCAGCCGTGATTCCTGTGTTATTCAGTGTATTACTTATTTGCCCATTTTCTACTTATTTTCTATTTTACTCGAGCGTTCACACATTCACATCGTTGCACTCGACATGAAAATATGGCGTGAAAATCAATGAAAACAAATACATGTATATCAACTACAGTGTAGCCAGTTGATATATAAATATTAATCCTAATCTTATTATTTCTGCCAAGGTAATCCCCTGTTACACACACAAGGGTGTGTAAGTGAAATGAAATAAAGCAAATGACTACCTAACGATTATGTGCCATACCATATTATTTAGGAGTTGAGTTGAGTTGGGCTTTACGTCACATCGGCATATAGTGACGAGAACAAGGCTGCATTAATATACATTGTAAGTACAAAGTGGTTTCGTTTCAAAAACATACATTCATTTCGTTGTCATTTTAGAACAGAGAATGTCATAGCATTAAATTGAAAAGCAGGTAAATTCGTTAGTGGCATTACACAGTTACAATTTATGATATAGATCAACTTCCCTCAGGTAGTTCTGTATCAGATGAGCGCTCACGCTGGAGAACAGATCTTTCAGATTGGTTGCGTGATAATGCGAGTCCCTTGCAGTTGTAAAATCCACACAGTCAAGCAGAATATGCTTGACGGTGAAAGCCTCATCGCAGGAGTGACATATGGGGGGTCCATCCCCATCCGTTTTTAGCAGATAGTCATGTGTAAACCGACTGTGTCCAATACGACATCGTCGTAAAATTACTTAATCACGTCTTGACTGGCAACCCAAGTAGGTATAACCGATTGTTGGCTTCAATTCATGGAGTTTGTTTCTTCCTACTTGAGTGTCCCACCTTTTTTGCATCAAGTCCCGAGTATAACTTTTGATAGTTGGTTTGAAATCACTGTACGGGATTTGCAGTGGAGATAGGGGCTTTTCAAGAGCTGCTTTTGCTGCAGCATCGGCCTAAGTGTTACCTGCTATGCCGACGTGACCCGGCAACCAGCAGAGGACGATGTCATATTGGCCAGTAGAAAGGTCGTTGTACAGTTCTAATATGTCCAGGATGATTGGGTGACTTGAAGTCACGTTTAGAAGTGCTTGAAGGCAGGATAATGAATCTGTAAAAACGATAAAGTTTTTGGACTGATTTTGCTGTTGAATGTAGGTCAAAGCTGAGAAGATAGCTTTGGCTTCAGCAGTGAAAATGGAACTGTTGTCGGGGATCCTAGAGGAGACAGTCTTGGCTCCAATGACTGTAGCGCTGGCAACTTGGCCACCGTCCTTGGATCCGTCTGTGAAAATGGATCTGTGAGTGTTATACTTCGAACGTAACTGGTTGTATTCCTGTTGGAACACCAAGGGATTTGTTTCAGACTTTTTGAGTTTGGTGAGGGTAAGATCGACCTGTGGTTTCACCATTTGCCATGGTGGTGAGGACAGAAGTCGGTATGGTGCAATGATGTTGAGATCAAGTTTAGCTGCAGATATGTGTGGTTTGATCCTGATTCCAAGTGGTGGAACCAGGCTTGGCAGTTTAGGAAATAAGTTTTCATAGAGCGGGTTGAAAACACAACTGTATGCTGGATTGGACTCATTTGAACGTAATTTAGTGATATACTGCAGTGAGAGTTTAATGCGGCGTTGTTCAAGGGAAGGTTCATTGGCCTCCGCATATAGACTGTCTACCGGAGAGGTCCTAAAAGTTCCCAGGCAGAGCCTCAGCCCTTGGTGGTGGATAGAGTCTAATTTTTCTAAATTGCTTTTGCAGGCTCCACCGTAGACAATGGAGCCATAATCTAGTTTACTGCGAACTAATGATCTGTACAAGTGAAGGAGGGTGGTCTGATCCCCTCCCCACTCTGTATTTGAAACTACTTTTAGCAAGTCTAGAGCCTTCAAACACTTTGTTTTCAAATAGTTTATGTGTGGTAAGAATGTCAGGTGGCGGTCGACTATGAGTCCAAGGAATTTGGCCTCTTCTACTACCTTGATGGGAGTACCATCTAAAGTTAGGTCTGGATCCTTGTGTGGTTTGTATTTACGACAAAAGTGAATACAATTTGTTTTGGATTTTGAAAACTTAAAACCATTTTCATTGGCCCATTTTTGGATTTTGTTAAGACAGAGTTGTAGCTGCCTTTCTATTGTGTGCATGTTCTTACCACGACATGAAATATTGAAGTCATCCACGAAAAGGGACCCAGCAACGCAACTGTTCAGAACGTTAGTGAGGCTGTTAATTTTTATGCTAAAAAGTGTGACAGACAGGATGCTGCCTTGGGGGACGCCCTGATGTTGGTGGAAATAGTCAGACAGTGTGGAACCCACCCGAACTTCAAATTGTCTGTTATTTAAAAACCGAGATATGAATTGAGGTAGTCTACCCCTCAATCCAAACTCGTGTAAATCTTTTAGGATACCATGTTTCCACGTTGTATCATATGCTTTTTCTAAATCGAAAAAGATAGATACTGCATGTTGTTTGTTGACAATGGAGTTTTTGATGAATGATTCGAGACGCACCAGATGGTCAATGGTACTTCGTTTTTTTCGGAAACCACATTGAAGGTCACTGAGGAGGTTATTGGTCTCCAAGTACCAGATTAATCGATTGTTGACCATGCGCTCCATGGTTTTGCAAACGCAGCTAGTTAGTGATATAGGACGGTAGTTTGAGGGATCAGTATGATCGCGACCGGGTTTTGGTATAGGGATGATAATGGCATTGTGCCACGAAGGGGGAAAGTGTCCGGATGTCCAGATGTCATCAAATATATTTAGGAGTGTTTCCAAGCCTGTGTCAGGGAGGTGTTTCAGAAGCTGATAATGGATTTCATCAGCTCCTGCCGCAGTGTCGTGAGCCGGTCCTAGGGCAGTACGTAATTCATGAGGAGGAGGAGTGGTTTGCCAAAGTTTCGCCAAGTTTGTTTGCAATTTCAGATTTATTTGTTAGAAGGGAGTCACCATCTTTCAGGTGGTGAACTCCTGATTTTGACCCTTTGCCCTTG